AACATCCACAGTAATCAATCTGATGAAACCAAACAGCAGAGGACACAGAGAGACACGCGAGTAAACAACTTTTTAATTCCACCGGGTTGGAGTCCCATCTCTTAAAAAAAGGAGCAAATAAAACGTGTTTCACTGAGCAGAGAAACAGAAATATTCTCTGCACAGACCACAGCACATCTCAGTTTAATAATTACTTTCTGTTCCAAATAATCAAACCCATGTGGAGCTATTTGAAATCCTTATAAGCCACATACAGTGGTGCATAGTCACCACATAATCTGCTTCTACAAGCAAGTGCATGGACAAAAAAAAGAGAAAAACATCACACATGGAAATACACATCCCCCAGTCTCAGTTTTTAACAAGTCTCACTTTTTTAATAATGGTGTTAAATATCTGTAACCTGTTTTCTCTGGCTGTGACGCTGGCTGGACATAAACATGCTATTCTTCCTGCTCCTCTAACGTTTCTATTAATAACACTCATAATGTCTGAGTCTCATTCTGCGCAGACGGGTGCAGCAGGATTTATTGTGTGCAAACGCGACCAGCTTCCAGCCGCCACACGTTGTTAATCTCCGGCTACACCTCTGTGCCATTCACAGCTCATGTAGGTCAGACTGTGTTGGCGCTGTGCAGTCAGAGGGCAGGCTGCTGCTGCCGACTCTGCCACCCTCTTGTCCCTCGTGGTTGAGGGCGCCAAAAACGAATCTGGGGCCACGACGTTCTGACGAGACGAAACACCGGGAGCTAAATCGTCTCGTCGGTTTCCTCCGCCCTGCTCGACCTCAGAGCAAGACTGTAAGGGCGTCACACAACCCTCAAAAGTATGCCTTTAAACTGATGTTTATGGAAGCAAATCAGAGACATCATTATTTGAATTTTAACAGCCACTGAATGTAAAATATTGAAATTTAAAACACCACTGAATTCATAGCATTGAAATATTTTACTTTGAAAACAATGTATCTGAATTTATTTGTCCTGAAAAATTCAGATCCAAAAATTCAAGTGTCATAATTTCAACAACAAAAAGATTCAGGTTGCTCAAATTCGATTTGTCAAATTCTACTCTATGTCAGCCCTGTGATTGGCTGGTGAACAGTCCAGGGTGTAACCCCGCCTCTTGTCCAATGACAGCTGGGATCGACTCCAGCCCCCCTACAACCCTGAACAGGAAAAAGCGATATAGATGATGGATGGATGGATGGATTTACAGGAAGCCATAGGCGTATAATTGCGTATGGAACGTATGGACATGTCCATACTAGAGCTGTGCATCTTCACTGGTCTCACGATTCGATTCGATTACAATTATCCAGTCAACGATTCAATTCGATTCGATATCACAATGCATCGCGATTCATCCTCAATTTTCTATATTACTGCACATGGCTACTTTTTCATAAACATAGACATACAGTCTTATAAATATGAACTCCTTTTGTATAATTTAAATAGTGCTTTAGACAACAATGTCATTATCAATATCTTTACATTGCAAGTTAAAATTAATATATTATATAGATAGCCTACAGCACAGGTAATAAGTTTACGTTTTTGTGTGTTTAGTTTATTATAAGAGAGAAAGATGTTTTTAAGTCACTGTGTGTTCTCTTCTCAGGACGTTGTAGTCTTTAGCTGTGAGCTTTGTTCAGGGTTAGTTTTGTTTCTTTCCTTTTTATTTCAGACGAGTTGTGTTAAGTTGCTACCGCTGTAAACACCCCATTTCCTGATAGGGATGTTTCACATTAAAAGCAGTAGAGAAGAAGTAGAAAGTGTTTATCATCGAACGAACGCAGCTATAGCGGAGGTGCACTTAGCGGTGATACTGTCGGGAGTCTACTGTGTTTACAGCCGCTCACTTTATCACGAGTCACCGCCACAGCCCCCTTCTTTTAGTTATCCTGGACTTAAGACAGCGAGGCATCAGTTTAAACACATCTTTACCTGTGATGAAGATGCTAACCCGTGCTGCAGTCAGCTAAAGAGACACCGAGTCAAGCCGTTTCAGCCTGCAGCGGAGCACTGTGGTCTGAGCCTGCAGGACCAGCTGACTCCGCTCATAAAGTCAGCAAGCACAGGACCGAAACTCAATTTATGTTGTTTTCTGTCACAAATCCCTCTGTTAGCCTACATTACTTTCATTACACACCACCGTGTGTGTTTAGGTAAAACAAACTCACACAGCGCTGCGCAAAACAACACATTTAGCGGTTAGCAGATGCTTTTTTTTAACCCTCGTCATAATCGATTACGTCCTGCATCGATGCATTAATCGTCTAGTCTGCATCGCAATGCATCGATTAAATGATTAATTCCAACAGCCCTAGTCCATACCAATCTCAAACGAAGGCTGAAATTTCCACACCAATATTAAGGTTGAAGGAAAAAAAAGGCGCCTCATGCGCCACACAAAGGGTTAAATCCTTTCCCACTTCGGCACCGCCTCTCAAATACGTCTTTGAGACAGGTCTGTTTTTTGATTGGCTTAGCTTCCAGCAGGCTGTCGAAGTTGTTTCGCTTGCAGGCTTTGCCAGTGTTGACGAGAGGGAGGTCGATACTGTTGGTGTGCGACACATGTACGAGGATGTCGGGCAAGAAAAGAAAGGTGGAAGAAGACGTTAGAAGATATTTCATGAAACAAAGTGTAAGTCACCTGAGGAAAATAGTCCCCCCTCATAGGCTATCGCTAATGAATGCAAAACATTGTTTCCAACCGTTTTCTCACTCTTAATGCCGATTGATTTGTTACTTTGTCGTCTTTTATATAATTTTAAATTTTGGATTCTAAGGCTATAACAAGGTGTCATTCTCTAATAGATTTGATTTGAGATGTACATCATTCCTAAAAGAACATCCCAAAACACCTGTAATGTTTTGAATATGCAGAAAGTTATGAACAATACAGTTGAATAATTAATAGTAATTCAAAAATAATTATAATTTCCTATACATAGTAAAGAAATTTCCGCCATAAATTAATTCAGAAAAGGCACAAATTGTTGCATAAAAATTCACTAGAATGCAGGAAATGAAGTGTTTGACGCTCAAAATTCTCTGGGGGGGAACCCTGAGACCCCCCGCTGAAAATTTGTCCCCCCCAATGTTGAATCCAAACCTACGCCCTTGCATGAAGCTCTAGTTTGATATGTGCTCAACAGAAACTGTTGTCCCAGGAAGTCAAGTTCTGACCCCTGAATCCTGAAAAACCCACCAGATAAAAATCAAATAAAAACCATTTCACCAACTTGTTTATAAAAAAGACTGAAGACTTTCATAAATTCATGTGGTCTGATGCAGGCGAAGCAACAATTTGTGCAACGACTGAAACGTGCCGAAATCTTCTCTCAACAGCCAATGACATTTTATGATCTCAACAAGTTTTTTACAGGTTAAATTAAAATAAAATAATATTACACAACAGCTTTAATAAATTGGAACTGGTGTAGAGTTTAAATCCACAAAACAAACAATCTTGTGCATCTTAAGCTGCTTTGGTAGTAAACTCTCACTTTAACAGGAAGGATTCATCAAGTTGTTCTTCCTGATTATGCAGCCGATGTTTGAGCTCAACTGTTTGAACGAGCAGGAAAGAAAAAGGCAGGTCAAGCCAACCATTCACACACTGATGGCTGCTGTGTAACATGTCCATCAGAAGCAACTAATCCCATTCATACACATTCATACACCGTCGACAAAGCAGCAGGAGCCACTTTGGGTTCAGTGTCTCACGCAAGGACCAGTTTGAGAGACGACCGACTCGACTACTAACCCAAAATCTGCTGGTTTTGTTCTTCATTTAAACTTTGTTTTGTGAAGATATCTGCTTCTGGTTTTGTAGTTTATTTCCTTGAAAGAAGCTCGTTTTCTGTTTCCTGTAATTATTTGGCTTTTTGTTAATAAGAACGTCATGCTTTCCCTTTTTCATTCCTGTTTTTTCCTGTTATGCCCCACATGTAACAACAAGTAATTTAACCCTTCCACAAAGCCTAAAGACCTTTTTCCAGTATTTTGTCTAAGTTTCTTTTATCTGCAGAGTGAAAATGTGCATAAAAGCTGTCCGATTAGAGCCCACCTTTTAGTCCGTGCTTCATATGTCTTTCCCCCAAACATTTGCTTTGTGGGTAAACTGTTGTTGTGTGCTTCATATGGCTCACATGTGAGGAAGCCTCTTTAATCAGAGCCAGTAGAAACTCAAACACACACTTTACAGACTCCTTCTGACAAGTGAAGTCAAGAGATAAGTGAAGAGATTCTCAGCGGGGGGATTGACCTTAAGTAGGACTTTTGGTTTTAACAGCCCTTTTCCTTATTTTGCTCTGTGCACCAGCTGCTGCTTCTTTGTGTGGACTCGCTGGCAAAACAACAAGAGGAGCATTCTCAGGTGCTTTTCGTTCTCGTTAGCGTTAGCTTGTGATCACAAAGGTCTGAATCATGGACAGCTAACAGGAGGATGTGACTTTGGGAACGTATGGTATGGTTTGAAAACGTTCTGTCCAAGCCAAAACTAAGGACATGTGTACAGATCAAAAATCCTTTTATGCCTGAGTTATATGTAACGTGTCGTTTATCTCGAGGCGAAAGATCCTTGGTCGCACAGTTGAGATCTGCTATTCTCCCTCTGGCCGTTGAAGTCGGTCGATTCAAAAATATTCCAGTAGAAAACAGACTTTGTGAGATGTGTGAGTTGGACGAAGTTGAAACGGAGTCCCATTTTCTTTTTGCATTGTAGAAAATCTGATGATTTAAGAGAATTATTGTTTTATGAAGTAAAATCTGAAATATTGCAGAAACTGGAATGGCTGTTTAAGTTTGATGTGTTTAAACTTAGCTAATTTTGTTTCAAAAGCTTGGAAAAGAAGACAGGATATTCTGTTTGATTAGTTTGACTTCTTGCTTTTCTTTTTGTTTCTTGAGAATGAGTATAGCTTACCTAGTGCACTCTGATCCGGGAACGTTTTTAATGTGCATGTGTGACAGTAAAAAGGAGGACAGGAGGACGTGGTACAAGTCGTTTAATTCAGTCATCTATCATGAAGCAGATTCTTTTTACAGACAGTCGAAGCAATGCTGGAAGAAAAAACTTGAAATGTTTTGGTTTCACAGGTTTGTGTTATTCCAAGTGTTGTTTGACAAAGACTTGGATGTAATCCACAAATTCAGAACCACGCACACAAACATGTAGTAGTCATCTTCTGGTCTTCAGAAGGTGGGAAGGGGAAAGAGAAGACGAGTGCAGGCTCCAGGCTTTCTGTCCTCAAGGAGGTTTCTGGTGTCCGTTGATAGGGCTCCCCGCCTGAGGTCAGACAAATAAAGCGTAAGTGAAGATGACCAAAGGCAATAAACATGAAGTGTGTGCAAGAGGGGAAATCAGAGAGAGAGAGAGAATAGCTGGAGGAAACAATGTCCCAGTGTGTAATTATGGGTCAAGACATCCAGATATTAAGTTGATTATAACGTCTGTTCCAACTGCAAATCAGGGATTGTTTTACACTTCGGAAACTGAAGTCGGGATGAAGCTTTTTAAAGAGTTACTGAAGAGGATGTTGAAACACCTCAGGCTCACAGAGCAGGACTGAGATCTGTCTTTGCTCTAAAGGTTTAGTTATTAAATTATTATTTGAAAAATAAACCTGAATTTGTTCATAGAGAATTCTTTCCATTATCTTACCTAGAATTGGTAATAAACTTATTGGTCGACTATTGGAACCAGAGAACGGCTTTCTTTTATCTTTAGGTATTGGGACAATTTTTGACATTTTTCCATGATTGCAAACATACATTTTCATTAAAACACTTGTTTATAATGTGTGCAACCATAGGAGTCTTTGTCAAGGCCAAACACTCTGATGTTGAATCTGCAGCTGTACATCTCCAGCTTTTCAGTTTTTTCTCTTAATTCCTTGTTTTCTTTGCGGAGAGTTATACACTCATTCTCCACTTCAGCCATCCTATTGTGTACATCCGATAGAGCCAGCTCCACATCATCCAGTTTGTTCTTACATTCCTTTCATCCGATCTGTAAAGTGTCCAGTTGAGGCTTTAATTTACTTATTGCCTCGCTTATTTCTTCGAACTCGCTAATCTCGCTAATTATCGAACAGATTAATGCAGCCAGTTCGGATTGATTTGCCTGCACTGCTCCAGCTGCCATCTCGGTACTCTCAGCTGTGACAGGTGACATGATTGTCGTTTCTTTTTTAGCTTTTTTCAGGCATCAGATTTTCTCCAGCTCCTCTCCCACTTTATAGATAGTGTTTAACATCAACTACTGGAAAGTAGATGCTTTTGGATCTTTTGAATTCTGGGTTACTTGTTATAATTGTTTGAGGATTCAGCAGCCTCTGCGTTCTATGCTCTCACTCACTGCAACCGGACATGACGTTGGTTAGTTGGTTAGTCATCTGTAAACCGTTAACTGATCTGCTGAAAGCATGCTATCAGAGGTAATAACTGTGTGAGTGAGCTAACGCTGTAAAGGCCCCATTTGTAACCTGAGTTTGGGATTTGATCTCATGGTGTTAACTGTGCAAAGCTGATGGGAAAATTGGCAGAGGGCGGCATATTCAAAGGTATTTTTGTTGTTTCATATTTGACTACTTCACACTCAGAATAAAAAAAAGAGCTAAATTGACTCGGTGTACCTCAAATTTAAAGGTCCTCTAGGCCTCGTTTATTTTATTTTTATTTTTTTAAAGATTTATTTATGGGCTTTTGTGCCTTTAATGCAGAGATAGGACTGTGGATAGAGTCGGAAACCAGGGAGAGAGAGTGGGGAACGACATGTGGAAGGGGGCGCATATTCTGTTGTTCAAACAACAGAATAACTTTGATCTAGAACTCAAGATTATCCTGATCCGAGCAGAGGGCTGGATGAACGCAGGATTGTAGGAAGAAAATGTCATCGAACTATTAAGGAGGTCGAACAAAAGAACGGAGTTACAATTAAGTCCGTTTTTTTATTTTTTTTATTTATTTGATAAATAAATATTTTATTTCGGTCACAAGAAAAAACAAAAACATTTTGACCGAAAAGGTGTAGGCTGAAGCTTTAGCTTATTACACCTACCCTTGTTACAAATCTTAATATTTAAGACACTACTAGTTTGGTTACAAAAAAAACAAAACTTATCAGAACAAGATTTGTTCCAAGAATTTCTTTAAAAAAAAAAACAAATGAAACAAACAAAAAACAAAACAGAAGTCACACTCACAAAAAATAATCAAGACATAAGTAGAGTTAAAGGTTGTGAAAAATATTAAAAACCTCGTCCGCATGAAATATTTCAGCAATAAAAATGGCAATATGGAACGATTACAATGATCCAATTAGAAGCAGCTGTGTGGATCTGTCAGTTTGTGTGGATTTTGGCGCCCCCTGTGGACAGAGTATGTACTGCGTCGCCCCATTGCGAGCACTGGCAATCCAGATTTGTTAATCCTTAGTATGTAACTGGATCTGGTCCTGTGCGATAAAACGATAACGATAATTATCACAATATAATTTTTGTCAATTTAAACCTGTAAGTACACCATCCAACCACTGGGAAACACGGGGGCGCTAATGCGCCTTGGACGCTAGTTGCCACTCGACATTAAAGAGAAGAAGAAAAAGACTACGAACAGCCAATCATGTCGCAGGGATATGGGTACGCGGTCTTACAGACACTCGGAGCGGAAAGGAAACAGCCGAAATTAGGGATAGTTACTCTGAAGAAAACGTTGAACCTACCGGGTCAAAGCAGGAGAAATTATCCTCGACGAGATGACAAGAAAGGTCGTTTAACTTCCGGAGATTAGAGACATTTTGTCTATTTACAGTCTGACAAAAAACAGAGCGGGCCAGTGAGTGTTACTCCCCAGCAACAAACGGTCATATCAGTGTTTTCCAGCTCAGTTTGTCTTTGAAAGATGGATTATCTGACATTTGATAGTAAAGAAAGTGCATTTCCATATCTGGATCATTCATATTAAATCTTTCAAAAGTCACCTATTTGTCAGTTTCTTGCAAGTTGACTGCCGTTTATGATAAGATGACTACCTGTCCACTTTGACTTCCAGCGTTACTTTTTGCTTCTATTTATCGCTATTGAAACTGTTATTTTCAGCGATATCACACTGGAGGTTGCTCTGTGGGTCTGCTGTGTGTATAATAAATCCTGCCTGAGCTGGTAATGTGTTTTATCACGGTTGGCTGTTTCCTCTCTTGTCTCCGGCGATCCCCGCTCCTCCAACTACATTCCCCCCCCCCCCCTCTCTCTCTCTCTCTCTCTCTCTCTCTCTCTCTCTCTTAGCTCTGCAGAGACTTAAGGGAAGCAGGGGGAAAAAAAGCATCATCTGCACTCAATCAGAATAATTATCTGAAGAAATGCACAGTGAGAGGTGAGGGGGAATGAAGCACAGAGGCTCCCTCCAGTCTTTATTAGTCATCTCTCTGCGCTGCCTTGGAAGAGAACCCGGACGGCTTTGGGAGGAAGCCATGTGCAGCAGACAGAAAGACAGACGGACAGACAGGGGAAAAGGCCTTAATGTGGAGACTCCCCGTGCCCAGAAAGTATCAGCAATCTCTCAAGGTTTTGGCAGCGGCTGCAGCTCCTCTGGGGACTGGCAGCAACACGAGGATCAGCCCTATGTTCTGTCTGTCAGGCTTCCTCTTATCCACAGATTCCTTAAAACACTGCAACCTGTCAACCCTGAAAGATGTGGGAGCTTTAACCAGAGAGCACCTTTTTAGGGATCTTCACTATCAACATAATCCAGGAGGATGAGGCGTTTGAGGTCCTGTCAGGATTTGTGAGCGCTTTCTGGAGCAGCTCTTTATGAGACACTGTAGGGTTCCTCCTTGATTGCAAAAATGGCTTTTATTTTTTGCAATCAAAGCTCTTTCACTTTTCAAGAGCAGTCAGACAGACAGAAGAATAAATCATTGATTAGACTCGTCTGGTCGTCTGGTGCCCGTGAAGTATCAGTTTTATGAATGTCCTGGCAAAACTACAAGTCCACAGGGGGGCTGGCGGCCGTTCTCAGATGGATATCTCTCCGTTTTGAATTTCCATTTCACCCCCTGAGATTTGCATTTGACCCTGATCCAGACTGGTCTCTCTAAAGGTACAGGGTCTTTTGTCAAATCCAGAGACAGCTTCAGTTCTTTGGAGTCAGATTAATGAATAAATCCTGAGATCAGAGACACAGTATGACCCCTCTCTGATGAGGATCCCTTTTGATTATTTAAAGACACCCAAAAAAGAAATCCCCTCAAAGCTTGTTTACTTGCTGAATCAGGAGCGTCTCATGAATTCAGATAATCCCCCCGCCTCTTCATCTATTCAGCCATGCAACTTTTCTGGTGTTTGTAGCTTTGGCCAAAAGTTCAGTTTTCAAAACCGTTGCTGAGGTCAAGCAATTTAAGGCAAAACCCCCAGTGAGCACATTAAAGATCTACCATAATCACCAAATCCCAGCAGTTAAACAGAAGGTAGGTGGTTTTAAGACATATAAGCAACCGGAGAGCTTGACTCCTGTGAACAGTAACAAGACTAGTAAGACTAAGACTAACAACAGAAGAGACACCAGCCTTAAAAAAGCCTATTATCTGGACCAAAAAAAGAGAAACAAACTTTAATTTAAGGTGAATGATCAGGTTGACCTGGTTGTGCACTTGGGCCTTTTGAACATTTGCTGCTCCAGCTTTGGTTTTGGTTCCAGAAGATCTGCCTGCCCAGAGACAGGTAGAAGGTGCTTTCCTTGACCCAGCAGGGCCTCAAGGTCCTCACATGATGGAGGCATTTGTAGGCCGTCACCGACAGCGTTCCCGTGAGACTACTAATAACTATCGACGCCTCCCAATCAGGCTGGGGCGCTATCTGAGAGGGCAGGTGTGTTCGGGGTCACTGGGGTTCTGCACAGCAGAGGTTGTACTTGAATCTCCTCGAGATGGAGGCGCTTTACATGGCTCTATTACTTTCTCTGTAGTATACGGGGGAGGCAGGTTATGGTGTTAACAGACAGCATGGCAGTGGTTTCTTACATCAACCATCAGGGGGGCTGAAGTGTCTGTCCCTGCATGTGTTGGCTGCTCTTGTGGGCTCAGTCCAAGGGATGGAACAGCGTCCGGCCCATTGGTCACACATCACGGTGGTCACACTGCAGCGTTCACAAAACAACACTGTAAAGAGGTCTGAGCTGAAAGCAGCCAGGACTCCTGGTGTTGTCGTAGTGATGTTTCTGATGTGTTACTGCCCTTATTACTGTATATGATCGGCTCTAAAGCTGAAGTCTTTATAGATTTTCTGATGTATTTTAACTCCAGTCTGAACCCGTTGATCTACACCTGTGTCTACCCGTGGTTTAGGAGAACTATTAGACTCATTGTTACAATAAAGATAACACATCCTGGCCCTGTGATGCAAACATACTGTAGGGAGGCACTAACCTCTGGTTTTCACAGAGCGAAAGGAATCAGTGTTGATGCAAAATGATGAAAACAATGTATCTTAGGCATGAGTAAATACAAATATCAACACACGTGGACCTTGTTCACCTTTGATTTTAGTATCATGAATTCTGCAGTCAGTGAACCGTTTGGCTCTGTCTCAGTTTGCACTTCCAACTATCTCATAAAGTAGGTGCTCTGCACACTACTCTTGCTCAGCATCACCAGTTTATTCGAGAAAAATCACAACAGTGCCTCTGCACCTTTGCCAACACACTTGATGTTGATAAAGGTGCAGAGGGATGTTCGCTAATAATTTGGAGACGCCAAGCAAATATAGATAACAGAACATGACATGATAATAGGAAAAAAGGACTGTAGGATCATTAAACTGGAACTGAAAGGGCAGAATGAGTTTTATTCGATGGACGCTGACGGATGATGTTGATAAATCCATGCAAACTTAACCTCATATTTCAAAAATACATACAAACTACACCTTCTCCACACTTATAGCTGCACTCATTAATTGTTCATGTATTGTTCAAGTATTGTTCCCAGTATCTGTACTGTTTGTTTTTATTTGTCTGTATCTGCCTAGCCCATGCTAATGTCCTGTAAAAATGTCTTTGTCTTGATGTGTCATGACTGTGTTATGTTCTGCAGAACAGGAACCTGCTGGAAACCAGTTTTTTAAACTGAGTCAGGCCCGTTAAACTGTAACCTAATGTTACTTTTAAACTTTACTGTATCATAAATGAAATGAAAACTTTGTGTTTTGCATTGTCATTACCGTGTTGTAATCCTGCTCTATAATGACGTCTGAAATGTTGGAGACGTTTGGTGTTATGCTGCAGCACGTCTTCAACCTTACTTGAACATCCTTTTTTTAATGTCATGGTTGTGAATAAAGCATGAATCATTTTAGATGTGGTGTCTTGTAATTCTCTTGGTTTAGACAATGCTGCCACCTTCTGGTCCAAATTTAAACTGTCATTGTTCGTTGTGACATAAGAAGATTTGGTACAGTATATATTAACACACTCCAGTACACCACCACCACGTGTGTTGCCAAGTCTGCTTATTATAATCGACTTTGGGTTTGTTTTCCTGTAAAGTCGTTTACAAATAGTTGGGCGTATTTGTGCTCGCCTTGCTCCCTGCATGATCCCGTCCTGTTTCTCTACCAGCTCTCCAAGAAAGCAAAAAACGATAGTTTGTCATGTTGCAGGATCAGTCCACAACCCTGTTCACCTGTTTACCCCGTCCCTTCCCTTCCCCCCCCAAAGCCCCCCCAACAAATAAGCACAGCTGTGCATATACAGTTATAATTGGGGGCCCTACAACCCCACATTTTTCACCATTGTGTGTGCCAGTGTCTGTTTTCTCTCCTATGAACAGATAATTCCTCGATTCATTTTTCTTGGTTGGCTTTCATTGACAAACTTTGGAGTTCAAAGCAAAAACGTATGCAATGCTTAGCAGAGGCCCCTTAGGGAGGTTTCCTACTGTCATTTAAAATTTGGACTTTGGGCTGCTGCTGTAGTTTAAAGTTTGTGAGCCATCAAGGGCCCCCTGCTGGTCTGGGGCCCCAAGCAGTTGCCTGCCTTGCCTGTTGAGAAGCAGCACCTCTGTGCATGACAACCAGCTACCCCAATACTCGTGACTATAAAACATTTGAATCGGTGTAAAAACAGCGTTCAAAAAACTGAGAAAAAAAGAAAGGGGGGAAAAGACTGTGAACATGATTGAACTACACGTCCCACAATGCATTGCAAATGAAACCTCTTCTTCTTAAATGTACCTTTAGTTGTTGTTATCGTGTTTAAAGTGTTGTACTGTCTTGTAGTTTGCGTCGTTGAATGTATAAATCACAGTCACTGCAGGAGAACAAGGTAAGTAGAACGGAGACATTGCCATGGTAACAGCGTGCTCCACCATCAGACTTGATTGAGTGATGGAATATTCGACCAGGAGTCTGTATGTTGTGTTTTATTTTGAAATTGATCGGACGCTCTGTGCGTTTCCTTGTCTGACTTCCTGTCCGGGTCAAACGACTCCGTCCAACTTCACGAGGAGAGCAAGAGCAAATTATAAACTGAGCATTTTTCTCTGTGTTGTAAGACTTGTGCAGACCACAAACAAAGGACTGGATGGGTTTATTTCACATTTTTGGGGTCTGTAGTCACTCAGCATACTTAAATATATGTTAAAAAAACACTGTAGAAGAGGATTTTTCATAGTATGTTCCCTTTAACACGACTTCTGTTGTTGCAGGAGTGAAAGCAGGAGCTTTCAGAGAGCTGGACAAACAGAGAGACCACACACACATTTACAGCGTGGTTAAAAAAAGTTGGAAGTTCTGGGTAACTTTGTGCAGCTCTACCAAATGTGACTTAACTAAGTTCAGTTCACTGAGTAAACATTACAACAACACAAAAGGTCAAATCGTCTAAGAAGAGGCGTTTACATTTGGAAACAGGCTACATTTTACTGAAGCAACAAAAACAGTTATTCATATTGTTGCATCACACTGTCAATGTGCATGATTGTTTAAAAAACAGACACACGCGTTAGCTGTCAAGTGTATTTTATTATCAACAAGAACACATTCACAACTTTGACTCCATCAGTTTTCATAATAAAAGATGTCCCCATCAAAGTGCACAGGATAGCCGTCTTCACATTTGATTGCAATATAATTGGTGCGAGCTTGACCCCGGTACTGACAGTGAGGAGGCCTGGCTCCCTGGTTTCGCAGAATGCAGACGATAATATGGAAGGGGGTCGTGCTTTTCATCATGCCATTACCAAGCGGCATTCCATTCTCACAGATGGTCTTGATTGGACTGTTGGTAGAGACGATGAAGGTATTGGTCTCTTTACACTCATTGTTGATGGTTTTGATATTTCTGCTTCCTATTTCAGCGTCACATCTGTTGACACTCATCTCGCCTTTGACATGCTGATTGATAAACTTTTTGTGGCGCTCCAGCAAAGCCGGGGGGATGCAGAGCACAGTAGCAGGAAGCAGCAGCAACAAAGCAAACTGGATCCTCATGATTTCCTAAAGTGAAGAAAATATGGAAAGATTGATGGTTAGACATTTTCTGTCAGAGGAGGTATGTGTCTACGTTCTGTCACAAACTGTTGTTCACAGTCTGAGATCAACAGAGAGCATCTTCGTATTCATGAATACAGTCGTGTTAAATGGACGTTACAGTGAGAGGAGAGAACAAACAAACCTTTGGAGTTTGAAGTAGAGCAGCTGTTGTACTCGGTCTGGTCGTGGCGGTTGAAACGGTGAAGAGAAGCTTTGAATAGTTTCTGTCAACAAGTAGTCTGACAAATGTTGTCTCTCTAAAGCTCTGAATCATTTATTGAATTTGGATTCAGACTTTGACCTCTTGGCAGATCAAAGCAGTAGGAGGGAATTTTTTTAACCCTCCTATAACCTGAGGACTTGTGTCGCACCTTTCGGCCTAACAACACAGAAAAATGCTCCATTAAAGACTGCCATAGAATTATTATCTATTAAATCCTTTCAGAATTATAAGAACAAAAAACTCCAGAACTGTATGAGTGTGTAGTGTTTGAAGAACAAAGAGATTTCTAACAAGAGTTGTAAGTGCCATATTGGGCTACATTCTGTGTGATTTTTAAAACAAGACATTTCCTGAAATGCGAAAACAAATTAAAAAAAAAAACTCTTCTGCTATAGATCCCAGATATAAAATAGATAATTACAGAAGGACTGTTCCGGAGATTCTCCAGACCTAGCCGTTCACACAAGCACCTCAGGGGGCATGTGTGGGGAGGGGGGGGGCGGGGGATTTCCTTAGGTAAGACGCGGAAGTAGCGGCTGAAGCAACAGAGTCCTCTACACGAAGCTATAATGAGAATATTTGCCTTTATATCAATGCTATGTGTAATCCAATGGAATACAAACATCCACAAAAGAGAGGAGAACAACATACTGACGAACAGAAAACACAATTCAGCAGGTTCATTACGTGCACGGCAGGCACGGAGCCTATGGCTCATTGCAGAGGGGGCGGGGACCAATAGTGGGCCCTTAAACTGTCTATAGGCTATATAGCACATGCTGTAGCCTATATAGTAATATAGTATAGCATTTATGGTATAATATCGGCTGTATGGAGATACAAGACGGGGCGGGACGAAGAGAAATGCTGCTGCAGATTACAAAGGGTGTTATTACAGTGACAGGGACTTATCAGTGAGTGACCTGCTGATATTTAAGCAGAACAAGTGCTGATATGTCTGTGCGCATATTCCACCGATTAAACAAGTAAAGCAGACTTCATTAGCCGGACGGGAAACCAAAGATAGAAGGCAACTACAGTTTGACATTCAGTGAAGTTGGACGCTCATCCAGCCACACAGCCAATACAATAAAACCACACATTATCAACCCACGCACGACAACAAACTTTGTAAACGGTGTGACAGCAAAGGCCTGTCGTTCATACAGTACGATAACCAGCAGACACGGCGGTTTACAACACACCCACAAACAAAAGACCAGCATCTAAGCGTAATCTCAAATAATGATGAAACAACTTACCAATAAGTTTTCATCAGCACTGTTGCTTTCCTGCATGGAGCTAGCTGGGTGCTCCTCTCTAACATGTTTATTTGCTTGGTTAGTAGCGTTTACGTTAGTGGAGCGAGCAACGGGAGGAGACTTGCCAGGTTGAGTTGTTGAGGGTTGAGTTGTCAGTGAGAAAACATTTTTTAATTTAGTTTTTTACACTTTTAATGTTACGAAAAACAGCGAGGTAAACAGAAATAAAGCAGACAGACGACTAGGTTTTTAAAATTCCAGACAGCAGCGGGGGCCCAGCAAAGGGGGTGCTAAGAGGTGGAATCAATGACATTACAAACAGGCCACAGCACCCTGCTGGTGCTGTTTGCTGCCGAAGTTGAGAACCCCCTTGGCAGTGGAAGGGGGCCCCTCTCTGCTCTACTAAATACATTGTGTGTCTTGATTGCGGCAAAAGAAAAGAGAGACTCAGACCTAGTCAAACTAACTTTATTCAAAAATTCAACTAAATAACAAAATGCATGTTAAATTTGGCTCAAAGTGGGAACAGTGGGCCCGGGGCGGCCATACCTTCTGCCCCCACACTCGCTCCGCTACTGGTGTACGGAGATCGTAGTGGTTACGTGCAGACACTTTATGCACCGTGCGATAACGCTTAGCCGGGCCGGAAGTGACATTCAACTGCCTCGATGCAATGAATTTTCCTCGATGATTTGAGTTAGTCGAGGAATCGTTTCAGCCCAAGTTCAGACCTTATTTAGTCATATCAAAACATTTCTGTTTTTATCTACACAAATGTGGTTTATGTTTGTGAGCATGCTAGTGTTTCAAAAAAAGATGCTAGATGAGCGAAGAGCTTTCTAACAAGAGTTCAAAACATTTCCCCCTTAGTAGGAGTAAATGTAAAACAGCAAAGCATGCCCTCATGGCGAGTTATTTATACCTTATGATTAACACGACTTGAGTTGTTGCAGGAGTGGAAGCAGGAGCTTCATGCAAACTGATCAAAATGTTTGTGAATCAAAGTACAAATTGAATCTCTATGTCAACACATGCTCTATGTCAACTGGTGCTGTTCCTCCCTCATTTAAACATGCTATAGTGCAGCCCTTGTTAAAAAAAAACCCAACCTGGTCCCCATACAATTTTCCAACTACAGACCCATCTCAAAACTATATAACTATATAACTATATATAATTATATAACTTTATACCACATACATCGTTTTATCTCTGATATCTCGGTGAAATTACTGCAGGAATTATTTGTCTTGTGACTCCAGCTGTCCGGTAGTGCTGCTCCGTGCTGCCCTCTGAGGACGCAGCCTGTGGGTGATCACTGAAGAAAGGAGCATGGTCATGAGTTATTCCCTGAAATGTTTGAAAGTTGTTGAATAGATGAATAAAATGAAGAACACAAAATCAACAAAGCTGTGAACTTCATTAATATTGCTGCGTCACGCTGTCAATGTGCACGACTGTTTAAGATCAAGAAAACGACACAGCTTTGACTTCATCAGTTTCTTTAAGCACCATAGTGCATAGGATATCCATTAAAACATGTAACTGTGATCCTCTTGGTGACAGCTGTACCCCTGAGGTACCCACAATCAGGATGCTTAGACCCCTGTTGCAGTTTGCACTCAATAGTATTGAAGGTGTCCGGGCTTGTGACCTCGCCATTGTTTTTCCCACCCATTGTTTTGATAGGTAGTCCTGGACTGACGATGAATGTATTAAACCCTTTGCAATAATTGATATTGATGTCTCTATGTTTGTCATTCATTTTAGCAGTACAATCGTCCTCTCCCATCTTGCCAACGACGTGCTATTCTCTAAACTTTTTGTGACGCTCATCCTCAGCAGCGTTGATGCAGAGCACAGTAGCAGAAAGCAGCAGCAACCAAGCAAACTGGATCCTCATGATTTCCTAAAGTGAAGAAAATGTGGAAAGATTGATGATTAGACATTTTCTGTCAGAGGAGGTATGTGTCTACGTTCTGTTACAAACTGTTATTCACAATCTGAGATCAACAGAGAGCATATTGATAACAGTCTTGTTAAATATTACAGCTCAGTGGATCGCTCAAGAATTGACAGAAGCTGAAAACTATTAAATCGCTATTTAGTCAGATAAACACTTCATTTAAATGCTGTGCAAATAATATCGTTTAGGACTTTATATCAATATTGTGAAACATCAATTCATTAATTATGTCATTCAGACTAATCTGTGAAAGTCTAAAGTATTAAAGAGCTGAACATGTTACAGTGAGAGGAGAGAAAAAACAAACCTTTGGAGCTGGAAGTAGAGCGGCGGCGGTTGTTGTCTTCGTCTGGTCGTGGCGTCTGAAACGGTGACGAGTGTGGTTTTGCAGAGGAGCAAAGGTGTAAGCATCGGAGGAGGGTCAGAGCAGTACACACAAAGTGAGCAGGCTGACTGACTGACTTTCTGACACTTCAAGCCCCATTTTATAGGAAAAGACGGCCGTGTCCTTTCAGCAACTGTTTACTTTACCTACTGACTAATTTACCTAGAAATAAAATATACAGCGCACAGAGCACAGCTGGGTGCCAGCAGAAAGTTTCACTTCTTTACTGAAGGCCAGTACTGGTTCACTTTCATTTGCTTAAACAAGATAATACATTATACTCCTTCCTTTTTATCATATATGATGAAAGAAGACCGTCGAAAATTTACTCATCAATGAGGTTTTTGTCAGAAACATCAAAACAGCATGCACATCCAAACATTGAAGTACTGGGTGCTGAAAAAACATCCAAAGATAGAAAAGTTCTGAGTCCGCACACCAGAAGCTGCTCCATTGAAATTTAATGGAAAAATCTCCTCATGTAACGCTCCGGGCCCTCGCCCTTCATCAGACAGGTTTCCACCAAACATGACAGTTCACTAGGATTCAACTCACATTCATCATGAAAGAAATCTGCTGAGATGCTGTTCTGTGACATCATCACACGCAGGGCCGTAAGCTCGGACCTGATTGCTGAAGTGCCAAAGACACATTAAAAAAATAATAAAAAACACTTTGACCTATCTTATTACCTTCTCCCCAAATCTGTAAAGAGTAGTAAATGTCTGCATGGGAAAAAGCTGCATGCCTTTTAAACCCGGTGGAGAGCAGGATAAACCCACTGAAGCAGCTGTTCAAAATTCAAAGGGGGCATTTCCTTTTCTTTTTCCTAATGATCTAGCCTACCTACACATGAGCTCAGGGATGGGGCACAATTCCAAAATCAGGCACAATTCAGCTGTAACGCACCGCCCGGCTCCTTGTTGTTTAGAATGAAGAAGTTTATTTACTAAACTATATAATACCGTTTTCACCCCCGGAGCTCCCAGTGTAAAGCTTAGATCGGGTCCCAAAAAATCCTACCCGAGCCCATGCATGTTCTGTCCGAGCCGGGGACAGCCCAACCCATTAACTGTATTCACGGGCCAGAGCCCGACTAAAACCCAACATTTTTTCAATAAGTTGGCTTTTATAATGAAAGGTTTAATTTGTTGATACGGACTGCTTCCCTAAACCTGCTTCTTTGTGGACCACATCCCCTATCAGCTGCTACATGGTACCGTTTCCCTGTGTTTAACTTTGTGTGCAAGCGTGTGTCTGTTACTTTCTTTCCACACTCTCAGTTTCTCGGTTCGGTCCACTCAGCTCAAGTTTTGAGTTTCAAGTGTGTGTGTGTGTGTGTGTGTGTGTGTGTGTGTGTGTGTGTGTGTGGCCTGATTGACAGCTCAGGATTGGTGAGGGAGGTGTGTCACGTTAACCGGGTCAGTGCTTCAGCAAGCAGCATAAACTTTAGAGCAGCCAAAAGAGCAAAAATGGAGCCCGGCCCGATGCGAGCCCGAAGTCGGGCCGAGGGTTCCGTTGGGCTCGAGTCGGGTTGCAAACCTCTACGGTGAAGTGGGTTTACAGCGAGAGGGAGAAACGAGCGAGTGTGAGGGACGGTACAGTTACACTCAGACGTGAAGACATGGTCCAAGACACGTGGGCAAGCTTAGCTGGCTCTGACATGTATTACACCTACAGTGTTACACCCTGACTGTATAGGGTCAGTGCCAGGATAGATACCAGCTAATCTGCTTTTTGACCAGTGGACTCTATGAACTACTAGTGTCTGGCACAAAGGATGTGTGAACACGTTTCACTACTGACTGCCTAACCTCACAATTTACGTAATTTATCAGAGGCCGACTCCTGGCATATGAAGACGGTATTGTTCTAGAGATGATACCTTTGAGGAGAGGGTTAATGTTAAAAACTGTGTCAGTCATGGTGGTAGGAGGGAGAGCAGGGAAACTAGGGAAATTGTTGCAGACAAAGTTTGGAGCTTGTAAATATCGAAAGAAGTGGGTCACTGACTGATCAACAGATGGTGAAGTTCAAATGATGTAAAGATGCTTTACAGAGACAATCCCATGATCTGCAGGTTACAAAAGGGTTGGAGTTAGGAGAGGTGCTGCTTAAAAATCCAAAGTGGCGTCTGAGTTGAGACCAGATCTTGAGGCAGTTTTTAACGATAACATTGTTGGAGTGAATCACTGATGGTGATGTCAGACACAAGAGTGACCTTAGTGAAGAAGAACCACGCAAGGACTCCTCAACCTGATTTTTTTTGGGAACATTTTTTGTTTCATATAAAATCATAAATGTAACGATCGAGTGAGTGGGAAAAATGTTTTGGAATAAAAACGGGTATACGTTGAAAAAGATGTCAATCATTATATGTAGAGCACCGATTAATAACAGTGTTATCTGGAGACGTTTCAAAAAGAGCATATGGGATAATATTCAGAAAGGATTTCTCCTTTGTATTCCTCTCGTTCCTGTTGTCCACACTTCCTCTCCGCTGAGGTGGAGGTCAGAGCAGGCCGTGCATGAATGAGGACGACACAGTCTGACACAGAGCTTAATCCATTACATACATTTGTGGCCAAAGCCAAATATTTTTAATAAACAGCTCAGAGGAAAGGCTTTTCTACACTTGATTGTGTTTCTGGTTAAAGAAGGTCCAATCAGTGAGATGTTTAGTGAGTGAAATGATAAAGTGATCTTACTATATGATCAGATATTAAGGAAACATGCTATGTTGAAGTGCTGGCTTCTCTGACAACAATGCAGCAGCCAGTATGTCCTCCTTCTAACTTTAGATTCTGGTCCTGAATGCTCTGGATTTGTTTGGACCAGAGAAGGTAGGCGGCTTTAAGGGGCAAAAAACTGGCTGGCTAAAAACTGAAGCTTCAGTGTCCACCACATGGTAACCTGCATGAGCATGGACTCTGGAGAGGAGGGGGGGAGAAAGCTCTCTACAATGTTTAGAATTTAGACTACAGTACCCATTTTGAACACTAGGTGTCAGAGTTACATAATTTCCTACTTTAAAGCAATTAGATACTTTAAAGCAATTAGTAGCGTACGGTGTAAATATTTAATGATTGCGAAAAACGTTAAAAAAACATTCAGGGACTATTTCACCTGCTGCAAATTGTTTTATTCTGCAAAATCCGCATTTCATGAAATACTTTTGCATGTAGTGAAATGTTTTTCGTAATCATGACATATTTACACATTTGACCTTCAGGGCCACCGTAATATTGAATAGTGAACTTTCCTGATTTTGTTCTATTGTCTGCATACTGCATGTTTTTATGTTTTCAATGTTTGTGTGTAATTTTCAATAGGGTAAAATTTGATTTGTGATAGTAAATATTCTTACTTTGTTATTTTTACTGTAATTTATTTTAACTTTGTTTAATCTCTAAAAGTGAGGTTTTGAGATAAGCCCTGATGGGTTTCTACCTCACCTGCACATGTGTTTTATTTTTTATTTTGTTTTATTTTTCTGTTTGACTCTTCTTTTAAACAATGTGCAAATAAACTAAACTGAACAGCGCCCTCTAGTGGCTGTTTATTTGACTTGCGTAATAAGTCTTCCAAAGACGTAGCTACTTGTTGTTTTGTCCTTTAAAAAGACGGACAACAGATGGACTAAATAAAAACACTGATGAGAGTGTGTTTTAAAGTTCAGACCTTTTTTTTTTTTTCTTTTTTAATCCTGGCACGACAGTAAGCTCCGCACCGCAGACTGGCAGCTTTGCCCAGACGGATATGAGCCGTTTATTTTGGACGTCTGACATTTACCCTCAAGATCTGAACTAGTTCTGGATTCAGAGATTTCTTCACAGATACAGAAGGTTCAGCTGCGCTTTTCATGACCTGAATTAATGACATTTTAGCCACTTTGGGCCATGATAGCATCAGTATTTAATGGATTCTGCAGAAATCCATTGATTGCATTGATTTTTTTCCAACCTTTAAAGACAAAAAAGTAAAGATGAGACTCCAGCTGCTGTTAATGTTTCAGAGACCTGGCTGTACAACAACCAGTGTAAGGTCTGGCAGCCTCACCCAGATGAATATTAGCCCTGTGGTTTTAGAAGTCTTCTGTTTCAGTCATCAGATCTGTCCTCGTCCTCCATCCAGAAAGATTTTTTTATTCCTTAACTTGTTGCTTTTAAAAGAAAGGTTCATGTGATGGGACCAGAAGAAAAGGCAAAAAAAGATTGTCCTACAGCTTTCATTGAAAGACGTTCATAGCAACTATTTTGTTTGATAAGTAATATTTGTTTATGTAGGAACCTGTGCAGGTTCTCAGTCATCCAGCTCATGGTAAATCTGAAGCTTGATCCAAAGGCAACTGGACTGTTTGAAGATCTTGAAGATGTTTCACTTCTCCTCCCAAAAGTCTTCTTCAGTTCTAAACTATCGGAGGACGGAGCAAAAAATGTTAGCCTCTGTGGATCATTAGCATGCTAATGGTCAAAGATGACTTCAAGATCTTCAATCAGCTGCCTTTGGATCAAGCCTTGAATTTCCCCTATTAATGTTCACTGTTTTCTAGGCCAGATTTGTCAAATGTGAGGCCTTTTGTTGTTTTCTTAGTCATGAATGAGTGGAAAGTGAATGTCTTTGTGGTTAAATGAACAAAGATTACTTGGTCTTTTGGAAAGTTTAGCACTATTCAGACTACTGTTGCTGTGCCCTGCTTCTGCAAAGCCAAGCGCAATGTGAATTCACAGACTGGAACACAAATTTGATGGTGTCGCAGAATCAAAAGTGTACATACAGTACAAAGTGACCACAGTACACAAGAGGATGGAAAGACAAAGCAACACCTCTGTACAGATTAAGAGGTCAATCACAGGTAGCCACGTCCAAAATAGTAACCTGCTTTATCGTCAGTTTTTCTCAAAATGAGGCCGAATTTTACAAATTGAACATCATGCTTATTCAAGATAACATCTGAGTAGTGATTAAGTCCATGAATTTATGGGGGGGATTAGTAAATAAATCAACTTTTTCTACAATCTGACACTTTCTGCAACAAGTTAAGCTGCCCCCTGCTGGCTGATAGAAAGAATGCAGATAGGGGGCGCTCCCTGCATTGTCTTGAATCTGAACTTTGACATATAGGAAATACACAGAGCAATCAAGCATTGTTAAAAAAACTGTTACCTGTGTAAAGAGATCCGTGTTTGATTTCTCTACCTGAGACTCCAGGTGGACCATTGAATCTGCCTCCCACGATGACATGCTGCTTCAAAGAGAGAAAGGTTAGTTACTTCACACCTGAGTTTAAGTTCATAATGATACATGTGTGTTTCTCTCTGTTAGTTCTCCCTCACCTGTCACAGCATGAAGTCTCTTTTAGCGGACAGAGGACACTCTGTGTGTGACCTTCATCATGTTCACTCTTCATCAGCTTCTTTTCCAGCGTGCTGACCTGTCGCAGCAGAGCTTCTCTCTCCTCCATCAGGCAGCGTTTGAATCTGTAGAAGTCAATTAGTTTCAAACACAGAGTGACCATCTAAGCTATTGAAAAAAAAACGGTAAATGACAGTAAAATGAACACGCTAATGTTGTAGTGGATAATGATTCTGCATCGTTTTATGTAATTAGCTGCAGGTTTTTCTCCAAGCAGGAGCACAAAATACAGACAGGAGGAGTCTAATTTAACAGAAAATAAGGCAGCAATATGAAGATCAGTTTATTGGGTTGAGTTCCATAAATCAGATTAAAGGCAGGGTTGGTAAAAGTCGAAAACTAGCATGATTTGGAAAGTAGCATTCCCTCAGTGCTCCATCTGCACCCGACCCCTGCCCTCTGTGCTCCCTCTAAAGCCACGCCCCTCCCCCTCTGTGCTCCCTCTAAAGCCACGCCCCTCCCCTCTGTGCTCCCTCTAAAGCCACGCCCCTCCCCCCTGTGCTCCCTCTAAAGCCACACCCCTCCCCCTCTGTGCTCCCTCTAAAGCCACGCCCTCCCCTCTGTGCTCCCTCTAAAGCCATGCCCTCCCCTCTGTGCTCCCTCTAAAGCCACGCCCCCTCACTTACATGCTTGAGCGCCGTCCCTCCAGAAGTGGACTTCAGCTCATCTCTTACATTGTGTAGAAACTACGTCGTCTCATGTCTCATTCAGTGGTAAGTAAACTCCTAAAGTCATCGGTGACATGCTTTGAGTGTGAGCTAGAGGTAGAGAGCGAGCAGGGAGCCAGGGAGACAGGGAGGCGTCTGATTGGTTCATCAGATTGGTACCTCGTTGCAGACATTGGTTGAAGTTTTTACAGACTTACAACTGATACAGATGATGGATTTTCTTTGTTTTCTTTTTCAGAGAACAAGAGTTATTAATTTCTGTCAGGACCTAAAGACAATTTCAACCAAAATCTTACAAACTGAATCTGGAGGAAAATTACCAACACTGACTTTAAGACTCTTTTCTCAAATGTTGACTGCATGGTTCATTGTAGTTAGTTTTTATTGATGTGTGTAGTTAAAGCCGTGCAGACTGTTTGTCGATGTGAATACATTCAGATGCAGTTTGAATAAATACCCACCTCTTGACACAACACATCCAGTATCTCTGCTGCTGACAGAGCCACTCACACTGCTCCGCTGTCTCCTGCAGTTTCCCCAGACTCCTCTGATTCTCCTGCTGCAGCTCCCTCACCTCAGAGACAACACAACACATCACTGCATTCCCCCCTTTGCTGCACAATGTGTTTAAACATAGTGACTTAATGTGACTTAAACTCCCTCGAAGAGTCTCTCTTACTCCCTGCCTCCCAGAACATTTCACAGTAATTCAAAGAGAGATCCACCACAAATAAATGTTCTCATTTAGTTTTCACCGTTGGACTTGTGCAGCTGTCCCTTTGGCGAGATAATGATAGAAGAGTTGGATTGTTTGCAGCCTGATGGACTGGATGAAACACAGGCCAGTAAGGGAGAGAGCCTCTTTGAGGCCCAGAGTAAATAAAAGAATCCTGACATTGTGTAGGAATGTCTCTCCTGCGCCCAGACTCAACACATTAATGCCAGCAAACCTTGAGTTACTGTTTTCTCCGGGGTGGTTGTAGTTTCTTTAAATGCGGCCCCATTATATTCATTTGAACCTCAAGGTTTTTATGTTTCATGTCATTAATTATTCAAAAATCTCACAGCAGGTTTTCTTTTAAACGGGCACGCTGACCTGAGAGAGAACAGTGTTCATCAACTTATCTGTGTGACAGCGGTGTCATGCTGTTCTTGTTGTTTTGCTGACAAAGACAAATACTGAACATATATTTAAAAAACATCAAACGTTAATTATTAATCATCTGCTCACTGGTATGCCTAATTACAGACAACAAAAGCAGTGTTGAAAAAGGTGTACAATCACGACATCTGCAGGACTAAAGTTGCATTACAACCATTAAGGCGCTGCAGCTTGAGAATGTTTAGGAAAACTTGAAACATTGTGGAATTTTTTTTTAGTCTTCTGTGACGTCTTTGTGACATTTCATAGCAGTGGTTCCCGACCAAACCTTTTCTTTGGCTACTGACCCCACCCCAACTTCACAAAACTCTGGCGACCCCAGACATCAGAAAAACACACAAAGAGCTTTTTCTCGATTAATTTGTTTTCAATCATGTAATTGTTTGTCTACTGTGTAAGTCAACATTTAATTTAGAGCACATTTAGACTTTTTCATGTATATTATTGTTGACAGGGCTGTTGATGTTGTTGTTGTTGAAAGGCTGGGATGACATTTCTGCACACTTTCTGCAAGTTTCTTGTTTTGGCATTAGCTAATGTCCCACAGTGTTCAATATATATCCACAATTTCCCAGTTTGGGATCAATAAAGTAATTCTATTCTATTCTATATTTTTATATGATGAACAAAATATGATTTTATTTTGTAAATAAATAAAGATTTCAGGCGACCACATTTGAAATTCCATGCGACCCCACCTTAATTGAGTAATTAATAAAACAATTTGCAGTTAGAAAAAAAAACTTGTGAAGGGGTTACATTGGGGAAAAAAAATAATAAATCAAAATACACAAACTGCACCATAAAAATAGAGGCAGTTTAATTTTATGACTCCTATAGTGTGTCTTGTATTCACTTTTAATGACATTTGCAGTATGTATTGTTTGATATAATTCATTTTTAAATATTCAACTGTGCCCACAGATTACGTGTTCTGTATGTGATTACAGATCCTGCAGTGCATCCACTTTGTGAGTTTTTAAATAAGTTTCACTGGTGGTTTTCACTCATTATGATACTTCATTTTTGTTTTTTCTTTGACTCTGTCAGCACATTTTGAACACAGATAAAATCCTTTGTCATTGCCTTTGATAAGTCCAGGTTTGTAGTTCAAAAGCTTTTTTGAGAAAATACCAAAAAAATATATATTTCTGATATTTCAGTTTCTCACCTCCTGCTCATGAGCAGAGCGTAAACCCTGCAGCTCTTCTCTCAGAGTTTTGTTGTTTTCTTGTAGCTCCTCCAGCTCCACTGATTTACTGTTTGGTGACAAATACAAAATCTGTGTGAAATATAAACCTTTCATATACAGACTGCATGTACTAATTAAACTGACGAGAGGATGTTGCTGCTTCAATTTGCTTTGGGTCGTTTAAGTTACTAGAAAGAAAACTAAACTTCATTAAACTGACCAATGATTGGTTTTATAAAATGCATTTGATGATGTAACACACACGGCACACTCCATCAATCTGATCTCTTAAATATAAACACAGAAAAATAACATATGTAAAATGATGACCTAAAACATCTGACAACTGACCTAGTTCACTGTTATAATATTCAAAATGTCTTAACTTGAGCAGTCATCAAAAGGCTTTACATGAGATTTTTCATACTTAAATATAATATAAATCAAGTATATCCTCTGAAAATAACTCTGTGAGTCATGACTGTCTACAATGGGTGTAACACCCGAGTCCCACTGTCTGTGATGCTTTCAGAGTCCTATCTTCACTTTGTTTACATCGCCGGGACGGCCGGCTGACTCCTCCCCTCGTGTATAAAAGTTGTTTAATTGAGGGAATAGAGAAAAGAAGAATAACATACTGTACTCACTGCTTAACTGTGTTTCTAGATCACGCTCCTTTCAGGTAAATTTACATGCAGTGTGAAGATACGAGCATCATAAAAGATCACTAGCATTAGCATGCTAACACAACAATGAAGCGCGAGTTGTTTTGGTTTCATGCTGGTGCTCAAGGGCGACATCTGCTGGATCAAAAAAATCGCATATAAAACCTTTAAACAATCACTGTTTGTATCATGAGCTGGCAACTTGAAAACTTTTCATTTTAGGACTTTTGTCAAAACAGAGCAGTGGCTGTTTTTCTCTTAAATGTAGGCCTAATAAAAACATTTTTCATAGATCGATCTTTTTTTCTGGATTTCTAGTTTCAACCCTCAATGATCTCTATTTCTCTGTCAAAGATTAATCACATTTGTTTGTCCACTAATCTATTGTTACTTAATGGTACAGTCATTAAACAGCTTCAGAGTGTTTTCTGCATCCTGCATCGTGAGACCTCCCCCTCATGTTCGACAGCGAGAGTCTCCCACTTAGGTGCATGGGTGAACAACCAACTCAAGAATATTTCAGGGGCATTCTGTCTGAATTTTTTTTGCTTGTTTAACTGCAGTGCAGCTGTGAAATCAGCTTTATTTACACAGAGGAGATGAAGTCTGTGTTGGGCTTACCTGCTCAGCTCCGCCTGGAGGCTCTCTGTCAGCACAGCCCTGTGCTGGGCCTCAGCGTGCAGCTCCACCTGGAGGCTCTCTGCAACCACTGCTCTGTGCTGGACCTCAGCGTGCAGCTCCTCCACCAGGCCCTCAAGCTTCACCTCGGAGCTCTGCAGACACAGCAGCTCGGTGCCGACCTGACGCAGCAGCTCTGCATCCCGGAAGCTCTCCCCCGCCAGCAGGACAAACCGCTGCTGCAGCATATCCACCAGGTCCTGCAGCGGAGATACACACAGAGAGACACACATTAACTACACATCTAAAGAGATTCCTGCATGCAAACATCCACACTAATGCATATATACTTACTAAATGTAGTTTCAATGCTACTACATGCTTGTCCAGTCAGATAAATAAAGTTCAAAACATCTTTATCTGTAATTCCTGACATTGAAAGATTTCCCTGGAGACGTCCCGATCACAGCGTAATTATCTTGTACAGACTGCACAGGTGATATCTAACACACCTATAGGGTCAGACGGTTTGGGACAAGCCCAAGCTTGATGTTATATCATATCTCTGTGGGTGAAGTGAGTGAGTTACACTCTCCAAATCTCTAACAAATACCAAAGAGTTTAATAGTAATAACAGTGTGCAACAGGAGAAATTCCCTTTTTGCACCTTTATAAAGAATCATACACATGTAGGGGAAAATCATTTTTTTCATACAAGCCTCTATTCAAATAACATATTGATGTTTATTGATGTTTAAACAGTTCTGTCCAAACAGGAAATAGTACATTTCTAACAGCTCTTGTGTAATGAAGCCAAAATCCCCAAAAGGTTGGTAACCAGTGCCAAACCCTCTGTACTGAAGTATGTTAACACTGGCTCTTACTGGAAGCCTCATTCCTGGACAATCACAGTAATTATAGCAGCGGTGGCTTACTGGTACGGTCATGGCTATGTGGTAAATACAACACTAAGCCATTCATTCATTCATTCATGTATGGGGGAGCAATGCAGGGTTGAGTGTCTTGATCGCCCGATCTAATAAGATTGTAACAACATTTTAGGTTAAAATAAAGCTGAATCTGTTGTTTTGGTTATTTAAACAACAGTTGCTCAAAATAACACATTCAAAGAGAAAATGTGTAAAACTGGAAGCTCTTAGGCTTTTCCTCGCTGATAGGTTTGTTTTTTTTTACGGCCTATTTTCTGCATGGTTCAGTCTCACACGCTTACAGAAGTAACTCAATTTCTGACAGATGCCTTAAATAAAAAAAATGTATGTAGAGGAATCTACAGGATTTGTAACTGTAAACAACTTTTCCATTTAAAACTTCAAAGTGATGAGTTCTTGTTTTTGCTGCCTCAAGTGGCTGATAAAAAATCCATCCATCCATCCATCATCCATCATCCATCCATCTATCCAACCATCCATCCATCCATCCATCCATCCAACTATCCATCCATCCACCCATCAAGCCATCCATCCACAAACCCACACACCCATCCATCCATCTATCCAACCAACCATCCACCACCCACTCATCCATCCATACATCCATCCACAAACCCACCCATCCATACATCGACAAATCCACCCACCCATCATCCATCCACCCATCCATCCATCCATCCATCCACCCATCCATCCATCCATCCATCCATCCATCCATCCATCCATCCCCTCACCCACCCACCCCATCCATCCATCCATCCATCCATCCATCCTCCCTCACCACCCACCCATCCATCCAACCATCCATCTATCCATCCATCCATCCATCCATCCATCCATCCATCCATCCCCTCACCCACCCACCATCCATCCAACCATCCCCTCACCACCCACCCATCCATCCATCCATCATCCATCCATCCATCCCTCACCACCCACCATCCATCCAACCATCCATCCATCTATCCATCCACCCATCCATCATCCATCCATCCTCATCCATCCATCCACCCACCCACCCACCCACAACCCATCCATCCATCCATCCTTAGTATTGAACATTTTGACGACAACAACCAGAACATTGTTTCCATTCTTCTTCAACTAACAGTGAACCCACCAGATTGTTCTGTATTAACTGACTGTATCTTTATTGATGAAGGCCAAACTCTCTCTGCACCAATGAATGCCCTCTGTGGTTTAACTCAACTAAACATTTAGAACATGTCTTTCTGATCCCTCACTTTACCTGCTGCTGGTGGATCCTGCTGAAGAGTTGGTCCTGTTGCATCCTGAGCTCCATGTTCAGCTGATCCTGGTGAACAAGTCGGGCAGTCGCAGCTTCCAGATCATTCTGCAGCTTCCTCTCTCGGTCTTTGGATACCAGGAAGTCCCTGTCAAGCACTGCTGTAGAGAGCCCACAGAGAGCAGAGACACAGTCAGGCTGGACCGACTTTGAAGTTCATTAACTGCAGCTCTGCTTGGACGTGTTTTCATAAAAGTTAATGAAAAATTAAGTTTTTACTGCCCACAGTTTAAAATACCCACAATGTTTTAAAACCATAAAACTTCAAATGTAGGAAAATGTAGGTTCAGATTCTGACATTTCTTGCAAAAAGTTTTACAGTTTTAACTCCACATCACCTCATCACTGCTCTCATGAGGGAGTTAAGGGTCCTTAATATACTTTTTAATGCACATTTATTTTTTCTTGTGTAAAAATGTCACCTCATCGTCAACACACTAGCTTAAATCATTTGTCTCTTACAGCTGACCAAGCTACTGCTAAGGACTTTTCTTTATGGTCCTTTTTCCATGTCCTTATCTCAGTAAGAATCGCTGACGCTAACTAGACTCTTCTCCTCTGTCGCCCCCTGGTGGTGGAATTAACTTCCAAACTCCATTGGATGTGCAGAGTCCCTCTGCACCTTTAAGAAAAAGCTAAAGACCCAGCTCTTTCATGAATACCTACTAACTTAATGATGATGGTCTCCAATATTATTGATGATGATGGTAATGACGATGGTTTTTGTTTGATAACGACGACTTATAAGATGGTTTCTATACTGATTAGAGCTCTCAAGAACTGCCCTCAATGTTGTGCTTTGCCTCTGGTCACTTCCTGTCAGCACCTGTGTGTCCAATCAGACTCAAAGCTGATCGTTTGCTCTTACTGACATTGTTCCCTTTTTTCTAGATCCTTGCTTGTGTTGTTCTTAGTCTCTGATGTACATCGCTTTGGATAAAAGCGTCTGTTAAGTGAATTGTAGAAGAATCTAGTATTCATCATATAAATATTCATCACATGTTCACATGTTTTCATCTAAACGTTCGACAAGCAGAACAACAACACACACATTGTAAAGTTGACCCAGATCCTCACACATGGAAAATCACTCCTTCATGTGTCATATTTTAAACATTACACCGGGCCCTCTTGAAACCCTAGCGATTATTAGGGCCCGAAGCACTGACAAGTGCGTAGGACCCTCTTGGAACTGAAAGGATTATTATTATTCTTCCACTTCCATTTTTGACAGCTTGAACGTGTGTGAAAACTCACCAAAATTTCCCCAAAATTGTCCCCCGCGTGAACTTGATGTATGAAACTGGTTCGGTGCACGTACGTTAAAAAATGGCTCTACGACGCCCCCAAACGTGAGTTAGGGCACTGCGCTTTACCTACAGCCACGAAAACTTTATACACATATGTGTCTTGGTGAGACGAACAAAAAGTTACATTATGACCATACTTTTAAACGTACAGGAAGCCTGCTATTTACACTTCAATTTCAAAATATTTGAAGGATCTTGGTCGAGGGCGCTCATCCGTTCGACAAACACTCAGTGTCAGTGTGTTCTAAACATGTTCAACATGTCCCGTTGTGCTCTGCACGTTATTTCGTCAAAGGGCGTGGCCGTGGCGTGCGTTCAAAGTTTGATGCGCATTTTAGCAACTTGCCAAACAAGTAAATGCTTATATCTCTGACATTTAGTGTTCAATCATATTACAATTTCTCATGCATGATACAGGACCCGCCCTGAACACATCCATGTTTGACATTTTATGATTAGTCATAGCGCCACCTGTTGACAACACGAAGTTACTGCTTCTCAATTAGCATTAGCCATTGCTACACGGTAGCTCAATTCCCCCTCAGAATTGGTGTGGACCATGCTAACACCTTGGCCATACAACACTTTCAATCTCAAATGCCTACGTCCAACCCTGTCGCCATACGGACGCGTCACTCACTATCAAACAGGAAGTAGTTTTTTCATGGGCTTAACATAGTCGTACTGTCCCGAAACTTCATACATATAATCCTGGTAGTAAAGTCAAACATCTCATACCGTTTAAGTGAGTGGGCGTGGCTTAATGGCTCAGTGGCGCCCCCTACAATATTTCAAACATTCAGCCCCCGCAGCACATCGAACCTACAATTCTGAATTTTACTATGCATTTCCAACATGACAAAACTTACAAAAAAGGCTCTTGCACCCACGCCCAAAACTCAACAGGAAGTCCACAAATCACGTCGACATCAAACAGGAAGTGGCTGTAACTCTTGAAATAACAATAGTCAACTTCAACCATAGCGCCCCCTAATGCAAGGACTAAGTACTACATTCTATATGCTTTGTCTGATCTGATTGAAATTTCACATGTATGATCAGGGTTGGCCTCTGAACACATTAACATAACAATAGTCAACTTCAACCATAGCACCCCCTACTGCAAAGAGTAAGTACTACATCCTATATACAATGCTCAATTTCCTCCACATTTCATAGCTATCATGACAGTGCCAGCCATAACTGCTCTACGTCAAAATGTTATGTGTTCTTCATTAAGTTGCCTATTTCAACATACCATATAGTACCACTTTTACACAAATCGGACTGCACACCCAGCTGCTTAGCCACGTTCTGCTGCTGCTGCACTCCCACGGTCGCGACACACCCCGACATGCACAGGGTTGCGAGGGCCCTTCATCACCGCTTGCGGTTTCAATTCAGTATTGCTATTGATTTGGATATTTTGGCTTTATGAGGTTTCCAGCTTAGTTTGTTGTCTATTAATACTACAAGAAATTTAATTTACTTGTTCTAGTTCTATGCCATTTATCATGAGTTTCTTGCTTCAATGTGTGTATATTTTCTGCACGAGGCTGAATGCAGACCACCCTCCAAATTCTGCCTAAGCAGCTTATTGCGAACCATATACAACGTTAGCTGGCAATCTCTTTTGACCCATGATGCATGCAAAAATATCTGGGTATGAAACAGTATGATATGACACTGTAAGATATGATATGGCTCCTACAGACTGAGCGACTGCCACCCATTAAATGTATGGATGTATGTCCGCTCAGGGCTTCCATAGTTCTTCTTATCAAAACTAATAAACTCATTCTACCACAAACAATGACTTTTTCTAAACCTCACTAAGGAGGGCATGAACTGTGTGGTGTGTTTGTAAATCATCTCCAAATGTTTTTTTTTCTGTTTTCCTCCTTAACCCTGATCATGCTAACTCGATGAAAAACAAACAGAAACACATTTTTTGTATATTGTGCTTATTTACTATGTATCTATTCTATTTTGCTCTGATAACATGCTGCTATAACACCACAATTTCCCAGTTTGGGATTGATAAAGTAATTCTATTCTATTCTATTCTATTCTATTCTATTCTATATGCTCCTGTGACTTAAATAGAGATGACTTGAGCACATATTAAAAACATTTCAAAGCAGAAGAGACAACATGACACATAAAAAATAAAGAACGACAGTTAACACCCAACTTGAATATCCATTCAAGTCCAGGAACGGCTGAAGAAATGTAAATGTGTAACTGAGTCCTCAGAGGTCAAAGTCTCGTCCTCCAGGTCTTACCTTTATCATGAGCCAGCCGGGTGCACTTGGCCGTCAGGTACTGGATCTGACCGTGGTCCTCATCCCTGTGCGCTTGGAAAAACCTCCTCATGCTCG